GATAACCTCTTAGTGATAATATTCAATAGATTATAACCTGCTTCATTCATAGTAAATATATTTCAACACCACAAGATTATCAAGAAATATAAAGTTCGTCTGTAATTCACCCTTTTGTAAATCAATTCAAATAAATAGAAATAATAATGACATGTGTTAATCATTAATCAGTGCATTCACCCTTTACTTGCTCGGCAACCCCACATAACATCTAGTGGGTTTTATTGTTCAAAGTTAATTATTACACGTTTGGCTGACGAGTTGAATTGTGGAATTAATTTCCGAACAAACGTGCATTAAATTGTACTTCATTTTTGTCAATTCTATGTCAATAACCGTTCATCTGCTTTTATGCATTTTTCTGTTGATTACTCATGGTGTATTTCGATTAAATTACTTAATCTTATGTAAAGCCAGTAGAATTCAATTGAAAATTGTAAAGAAGATAAAAACTCCGAAAATATTTGTATAAATATATAATAATAATAATAACAGAAAATATGAATTTATAACTACATAACTTATTGATTAACAACAAAATACAGTTACACGTGGTAATACTAAAAGAATGCATTATCTTAATGTTTGGGATCAGATCCAAAAGGCCTCCTTGTGATGGTGGGTGGAAGAGGCAATTATTTTATACTACTTGTAGTATTTCTTGTCTTTTCCTTTATTAAATATCAAATATAACAATTAGTCAATGGTCATTGGATTATAAATAGATAGTATGAGTGAATTGTGTGGTGAAGTTTCTTCAATTTTTGTACGTAATAGTGAGAGCATGTGTACTCTCGGTAAGGTGGGGCGCGATCCCTTCTTCATGCAAGACGAGTCGCTGTAGTAGTAGGCGCGTACTGGAGGCGCGAGTGAGACGATATTGCCTTCGCCGCCGGTATAGCATGAGCGCCGCTGTGTTTGCGTGGTGGGGAGGACTTCGTGTTGCGTCACTGCTTATGTAGGCGTGAGAGCTGATAGTGGTGGGCGTGAGAGCCTGTATTGGTGTGGTTGTAAGGAACGTCCGTCTGCGTTACTTACGTAGGCGTGACAACCGATGTAGTTGTGGTGGTAAGGAACGTCCGTGGTGCGTTGCTGCTTATGTAGTCGTTAGAGCCGGTATAGTTGTGATAGTAAGGAACATTCGTAGTGTATTGCTGCTTACGTGGGTGTGAGAGCCGATATAGTTAAGGCGTCACTATTAGTTCTTTAGACTGCGTGATGCTTGCGATGTCTGTCTGGGTGGCGATTGCAGGTAGAATAGTGCGCCCGTCGTAGAGACTGCGTGATTAGTACTAGCAAGGAAGATACGCGTCAAGCGCGGCTCTTAAATATTCTCGTACGAGCTTGCGACGCCGGTAGCGCACCGATGTCTGTTACTATGCCGATTATTATCGTGACGTCACTGGGATATAGCCTCTCCCAATTTTGTTTTGTGCCTTTAACTGCTTCAATCCGTAACACCTAAATAGTTGCCAAGTGATAGTTATATTTACCGAATGTATAAAATATTTTCTCGCTTTTTCTTTTTCTTAAATTTCATCTCGTTTCTTTTATTTAAAGTATTATTATCCTTATATTCAGCTGCTTTTTCCATTTTTTCATTTGTTCTTTAGTTGCCTTTCGTTTCTTCTAACAAATATACGTAACATCTTTCATCAATTCTTTTTCCTAACTTTTTTCTCATTCTTTATTTCTTCATTCTCATTATTCTATTTTTTCCTTCACTTATTTGCTTTATTAATAGACTCAATTTCGATCTACTTTTTAATGAATTTATATCAAAGCTTATAAGTTTTTAAAAGTTTATGATAATGTATAAAACTAATATCATAAATTAATGAATGGCCAAAATTGATAAGCGAAATTGTAAAAATAGTTATTGTTTTATCTAAAGTATTTTAATAAAAAAAAGAGTTTATAAAACTGTTCGAATTTTAGTGTTTGTTTTATGACTCGAAGCCAATTCAATAGTTCAGTGGATTAATCTCTCACCATAGCGATTAGGAGGAAAAAGGCACAAGTGCAAGGGCTATTCAGGTTATGTATTATAATAATATTGTAGCCTTGTTGGTTGCTTCTAGTGAGATAGAGAATTATTCTATTGCAGTGGTGCGAGTGCTTCCTTGTGTATTTGATTGTCATTGATGCTATGGAGATTCATGTAGATCTTCAATGTCGGTTTTATGCTATGTTGTAAGGATCAGCATAAGTAATAGACCATGCTCTTCAATGAGCACCTGAAGATGGTAATGTTAGTCGTAATCGTAATCAATAAGAATTCGTAGAGAGTGCAAGCATACTTAATAGGAGAGGCTACGGTATTCTTTGAGATAGTTGTTACGAAACTCGACCATACTCCAAGGGAGAATGGGAATATTAAAGTGTCAGTCACACGCAAGAAGAATAAGTCAGAAATAGTTCATTCAAGGACAGAAGGGACTGGTCACCAACATTGAATGGCTGAACTATAGCCTTGACAATGCAAGTACATGTACAAGGTGAGCGCGCGGTCTCAGCCTGTGTCTTAGGTCTCAGCCAGTCTCATCGTGTCACTTTTGTAAGTTTTACGCCTGGCGTGATTCAAGCCAGAGTGACTAAATTTGTACAAATAATAAAGAGGAGGTATCTTATGAACTACCGTCAAGGCCTGCTGTTTTGGAGGCGTGTCTGGCGCCCCTTATTAATTACAATTTCAATGGCTTCACTGTTAAATTGCTACCCTGTTGTAGCAGATTTTTATAATAACGCACGTATGTTTTTTAGACCGATTGTCTGATATGCGGCTAATTTTCGTGTAGTCACAAGTGATAACTGATACTATATGTACGTAAAAATGCACTAATTAATAATAACAGACGAACGAGCGAGGTGTAGAATTACAGTGAGCTATAATTGATAACTGAGTAGATAGTAAAAATACCGTGAGCCAGGTGCATGGCGACTGAGTGGATATTAAAAGAACAGTGCCACGGTGCGTGGCGCGTTGCTTTTGAATATTCGGGTAGCAGCTTGCGATGCCGGTAACAGCGCCGATGCGTGTTGTTATGCCGAAAATCATCGTGACGTCAGAGAATGAAGCTCTGGAATGTTCTAGAAGAGTCAAAGGACACAGCTTTGGAAGGTTCTAGAAATTTCATCCGCGTTGTTATGCGGAAATATTGTTGTATATTCAAATTTAAGGCGTAGAACAATTCCCGGATTCGCTGAATCGTCTTTACAAATACGAGCGTCCGGGAGCTTGTTCTTTTCTCAGTTTTAAATCTGCTTAAACTGCTTCAAGATTCAAAATTAATTCTGTAATTTAATACATTAATTTATATCTCGATATTTATCTCAACATAAGGAATATCGTTAGATTTTTCTGAAGTAGGTTACGTATAAGGTAGATGAGTTTGAAATCTAATTGAACATTATATTTATGAGTAATAATATTATATTACTATTTTTAAATATGCATAACCAGCTACACAGTTACTGATTGAGAGGAATTATCATTGTCTAGGATCAGACTAAAAATCTCCCGTTGTTGGTAGGTGGAAGTGTTGCGGGCAAGTCGAGGAGGCAAATGCAAGTATTCAATTCTACACACAATGTATCTTGACTGTCTTATTAAATACAATAATATAATAATAGGTAATGGCCATAAAAGTGTATGAATAAAAGTGTGAGTGAATTATTGATGAAGTTTCTTCAATTGTTTTACGTACTGATGAGAGTGTGTGTACTACACGTGTATAGCTACAGTGAGTGATTTCTAATATTGGTATTTGTATCATTATTGATGTCAATATTATTTAAATTCAGTATTTACTTTTATAATATTTAATCATATTTCTTATAATACTAAAATCTTACCTCTAATCTTATAACGTACGAACTTGATATTTAATTTTGTTTGCTCATATTTACTTTCTGTAGTTAAATTAGAAAAATGTTTATTCATTGATCCTGATCACTGGGAAGGGAAGAGGTGTAAAAATATTGATTTTAATTACTGAAAATTTAATTCGCTTTTTATTTGATTTTATAGTTAATAAGTATGATTTTACAGTGTGTCATTTATTAAAAACTGGCATAGCAGCCATCTTTGGACCACAAAATGCTCATACAGCTTCTCATGTGCAAAGCATTTGTGATACAATGGAGATACCGCATTTAGAAACTAGATGGGATTTCAGATTAAAAAGAGAAGGATGTCTTGTTAATTTATATCCACATCCTTCTACGTTATCAAAAGTAAGTATTAAAATAATAATGTAGTTGATACAAAAATTCAGTTTAATTTTATATTTAACAGAAACTGTGTAATAACATATTTTTACATCTATATAATTTAGAATGTAGTATTAAAAATCTGTAACCTTTTAAATATATTTATATTTTATATTATATAAAAATTAACTCTTTATCGAATTATCGTATATATTATAAATATATATATACTATATATAAAACAAAATTTATAAATACTTATTTATTTTTATTATAAGTAAAATAAACTATTGAGAAGTTCCACCTTGATAACCATTGTAACGGATTGAAAAGTTGAAAGGCGAAAGTGGGACAGGTATGAACGCGCAATTCAGTTATTTAAACAAAACAATAGCAACTAACGTTCCAGGCTATGCCCTGTTGACGCCACGACCAATATCGTCATGGCAACAATCACCAGCGTTTAAGGAATAGTGCGATAATATTTAAGGGCTATGCTTTACGCGCAGCAGCGAGTGTTTGCCTCAGTCTAGTAACACTTACAGTCATAACAAATGCACTGTCTAAAAATAGAGTACCGGGCGAGAAGGGCCAAGTATCTAAGATTAGGTGTGAACTCCCGATGTTGATAGGAGGATTGCAGGCTAGTGGACAAGATAGTACATGTATTCAATAAAGAGTATTTTTGTTATTTAGATTTGTTTCATTCATATAATTGCATTAGTTGAATTATAATGAGTTTTCTTTTATGATTGATTGCTTGCTTTTCTTGATTTGTATGTTATTGCCACTGAGCGTTCACGTATGTCGCATACACAGGAAGAAGTTGATGCCTTACTGGTCCTCTATATGTAATGTACGTGTAGATGGAATAATACACATAGAAGAGCGAGGTCGTAAGCCCCAGCGCTTGCTTGTATATAAGTACGTGGCGTTGCTTGAATTGCTTGTATTATGTTTTGCAAATAGTTTTACGTATCTGCAGATTAGCGCGTATAGCTTGATATAGTTATGTATTAATTTGGAATGGAACGTGACCTCGTAGTTCCGCACATTGTGTATAGCTATGTTTTGTCTTGTTTCTTGAATTTGCTTCGAGCGGCTTCTTGCAGTTTGATTGTGTATACTGTGCGAACTGATATTCGTAGTTCTCGATTCCCTTTAATACTTGTATTGCACTGCTGCGAGTGTATGATTTGATTATCTAGCAGTTGTGTTGAATAGAATAATCTTGCGTAATTAACTTGGACTTTCTAATTGTTTGACTGCGTTTTAATTGACTTGTTCTTTTTCACCTTGCCAGCGTCGCCTTTTTAAAGCCTTCTTTTGACCACGCGGTGGTCGGTGAGAATTCCCTCTCTTTTGGTGTTGCCAATCAGAGCTGTCTTATCGATCATGGCGTCGCCAATGAGATTTAGTCTTATTAGTGTGTCCAATCAGAAGTCTTCTTTAATTTATGGTATTTCTAATCAAAGCGCCTTTTTGAGTGGTGGGGTCTCCCACCAGTGAGTCTTTCCAAGATGGAGGCTACAATGAGAGCGGGTCTTGCTCAACTCCCCTCCATGATGGGAGGTCTTGATGCCGCGCTTTTCCCTCTCCTCCCTAGCATTGTCGCATGCATTTCTTGTAATCATGCGCGTTGCTATCGGTCAGTGTTGTGAAGGTTAGGTGTAGCATTGTTTTTGAGTGGATCATCTGGCTTGTGTTTTTCAGACTAATTTTATAACTTGTTTACGCCAGATGTTTTATGACTTGTCGTCGATAGATGCTTTGTGGCGAGGCCGTGTCAAATGTCTCATCGCATTAGTTTTATGACGTGTTTTTGCTGGACATTTGGACCTTTGTTCTCGTCAGATGTCTTTATGAATTGTTTTTTCTTTAGATATTCGAAGTTTTGCTGAATTATGTATATTAGTTAATCCGAGGCGCGTTTGAATGTTTATTCCTTGAGTAGTCGAGAGTTTGCTTTTTTCAAAACTCTTATCTCGAATTTTCCAGATGTTTAATGAGCTGGGAGTTTTCTTGCATTCTCGAACACACACTATTCATCTTCAATCTATTTTCTACAATTATCACTCATTGTAGCGGTATACATACGTAATAATCAACTAAGTAAATAATCTAACAAAGAAATAGTGACGCTACATTATTAAATCCGTTAATCTAAACTTAAACTAATAACGCGCTAGTACTAACATGAAACAAGAGTGAAAACATAAAAATCATATTACACATATTAACGGATTAGACCGACGCTTAATACATCGGCGGCGGCTCCAACGCATAATACAAATAGCGGCGGATCTAACTCATACTACTACTGAGGCAGCTCATACATTAGACCGATGCATAATACATCGACAACAGCCCCAACGCATAATACAATAGTGGCGGCTACTAAGATAGCACCGACTCCTTATACAACGAAAAGGATATACATTCATCAATACTTAACACAGTAGAAGAAACTTCCTTTATTTATTCAATCTTACCTTTATTCATATACTTCATTATCATTAATTATTTATTATATTATTATATTTAATAAAAGAGAAGACAAGAAAAACTACAAGTAGTCTTGAATAATTGCATTGTCCCTACAACTTGCCAGCAACACCTCCACCTAACATCAAACGGGGGTTTTCTGTCTGATCTCAGATAACCATCTTTTGTCATTCTTGACCGTACATCTTCACGACTTCTTCGATAGTTTGATAGATGCTTTTTAAATGATATTCTTTAATCTCATATAGCTTATCTTTTGACGGATACCATTATTTGATTTTGAATGTATAGCTTTTGCTTCGGTAAGATATACTAGTAATGTGACCTAACGCTATTTTTCTAACGAAATAATTGAACATTATAATCTTTTCTATTGTCTGTATTGCATTGTCGTCATTTTTATTTGAATTTATTATATATGTAATATTTCTGAGTTTGTTCGAAATTGTAAGAATACTCACAAGTCAGTAGACATCTGGAAAACTAACGATTAAGAGTTCCGGAAAATGCAAGCCCTTGAGTATCTGGTGAAAACAACTCATAAACACATCTGGATATAACATGCCATTAAGTATCTAGCGAAAGCAAGTCATAAAACACATCTGGTGTAAACAAGTCAGAAAGATAGCCGGATGACACATGCCAGATGCTTCACTCAAAAACCACGCTACACCCAACCTTTACAACACTGACGATACATAGCGCGCATGATCATGAGATTTACATGCGACGCTACTAGGACGGAGAGGGATGAACGCATGACCAAGTCCCTATCAAGGAGGGGATTCGAGTAAGACCCGCTCTCATTGGAGTCTCCATCATCAAAAGACGTACTGGTGGGAAACCCCACCACTTAAAAAGCACTTTGACTGGAGATGCCATAAACTAAAGGAGACTTCTGATTGGAAACACTAAGGAGAAATCTGATTGGAGACGCCATAAACGAGAGGAAAGCTCTGATTGGAGACGCCAAAAAGGAAGGAATTCTCACCGACCATCGCGGGGCCGAGAGAATGCTCTTAAAAAGAAGACGCCGGCAAGGCACACAAGCTGCTCAAAAAGAATAGCCAAGTAAAACGTGTACAAACAATCATAAAACCCAAGAACAGATAATAACGCTAAAATTATTCAACTTACAATAAGTGGGATATAATTAAACATACACAGTCAGCAATGCAAAAAAGGGAAAAGGGAACTAAAAAATAACAGTTCGCATACAATATATAATCATAACCTACAAAGAGCTGCTCGAGGCAAAATCAGCAAATAATACGAAGCATTGCCAAAAACACAACGTGCAGAATTTAGAGTTAAAGTTGCATTTCTAATTAATACATAACTATAACGATCTGCATGCGGCCAATCTGCAGAACTCAAACCCAAGCAATTCAAGCTATCGCAACCTGCCATTACACAAAAAAGCGCGGGGGTTTACGACCTCGCTTTTCTGCGTATATAACTCCACCACCACGTGAATTATATATAGAGGACCAGAAGGCTACGCCCTTCTACCTGTACATGCAATGCACATTACCGCTCCATAACAATAGCAACACAAAACTCAAGAAACGAAGGCATTCAAACATCAACTAAAAATCATACGTACGTGAATAGTTACAGTGAATGATGCCGCTAGTGGTAACGCTTGAATGTAGAATAGTGAGCCTCTCGTAGCGACTGCATGATTAGTACTAGCACAAGGAACATGCGCGTCAAGCGCTGCTGTTAAATATTCTCGTAAGAGCTTGCGACGTCAGAAGCGCACCGGTGTCTGTTATTATACCGATCATTATCGTGACGTCACTAGGATATAGCGTTGGAGGGTTCATCGGCATTGCTAGTCGGAATTATAATCTAATATTCGAGTATTCTACGTAGTGAAATCTCCCGAAATCGTTGAATTGTGTTTATAACGTAAATGTCCGGAAGCTCATGCCTCTCCCATTTTTGTATTCCGCTTTCAACTGTTTCAATCCGTAACAACATCTTACTTTAGATATTTGGCCCTCCGCTCCCGGTACTCTATTTTTATATCGATTTATACATTTTTATAGACTAGTATTTTATTAAGTCTCTGTCAATTATTTCAGATCACATTACATCAACAAAGTATTTTAGAATTTTATATGCTTATGATTCTAATTTTGGGTCTGTAATAGATTCGATCATTTACGTATGTTATTCCTATGATTCCATTATTCATAGATATCATTGGTATATTCAATACTTTCTATCTAATTTTCCTTTAACGACTTTATTATTTTTATTCTTTAATGAATTCATTTTATAAATACTAAATTTTATAAATATGAAAATATTTAATTATTTATGCTAAATATCTTTATGTGTTATATATTAATATATATATATATATATATATGTTTACTCTCTCTCTCTCTCTCTCTCTCTATATATATATATATATATATATATATGTTTTCTCTCTCTCTCTCTCTCTCTCTATATATATATATATATATATATATATGTTTTCTCTCTCTCTCTCTCTCTCTCTATATATATATATATATATATATATATGTTTTCTCTCTCTCTCTCTCTCTCTCTATATACATTGAATATGAATGGATTGTAGATTATTACATATATATTAAGAGATGACAATACAATTCATACTTGTTCCCTCTTCGTTTAACATTTCATTATTTTATTTTCGTTAATTTTACGTGCTTTAGATGTAATGTGTTTGCATAATAATTCTTGAATAATTTTGTTTTTAGTTTTTAGTAAATAATCAAATGATTGTATGGCCTATGAGATATATCGATTATGATTTTATCGTGTGAAAACTACATTGTATACGTATAATTATATGAAAAAAACAGTGTAAAATAGAAAATGTAAATAAGGTTAGCTACAGATAATAGCAAAATTTATATTTAAAAATGAATTAGTATTATTTAATATCTATAAAGGAATTTACCACGTAAAATTGTACTTTGTTGCTGTAATAGAATTGAAAGATAAATAATGCATGAAAATTCAAAAACATAGCAGCGTAAAGCCTTATAAACAGTATATATGAATAACATATTATCTGTCTGAAAATGCAAATATCAGTTCATGCGGTAACAATAGCCGTGTATAAATTACGATGTAGCATATCAATTAAGTCACTCGTGAATATACTATCATGAATTGCATATTAACTTATCTAATTATGAGCCCATAAATATGTACGCATATACGTATTAATCGATGTCAAGTTTTCTTTAATAAAAATAGAAATATGAAAAACTGAATAATTTATTTGGTAAAATATTTTATAACTTTCAGGCATATGTACATTTGGTTAAATCATTGGGATGGAAAAGTTTTACGATTATTTATGAAACTAATGAAGGTTTGGTCCGTTTACAAGAATTATTAAAAGCGCATGGTCCTACCGATTATCCAATCACTATTAAACAACTTGGAGAAGATTCTAAAATTGGACATGGTTATAGGTAAGTTAATTTTAAAATATTTATAAAAAATATTAATAAGTCTATAATATTAAAAATATAATGCCTTTGTACAAAATGTAATTCGTCGTTTCGACTTGTTTTATCAAGGCCGGTTCGACGGATACAATTTGATGCCGTTGACAATTCAGAGACCACGGGTGTTGGGTGGTAGCGATGAAAGGTCACAAGTGGAAGGGACATTATAACAATACAATATAAATGTGGCTGAAGTATTTACTTTTTATTCTGTTAATTATTGTTGACAAGGTTGACCATTATTACTATTATTAATTATAGACCAACTTTTGGGTTGAATTAATGTGTTGCGGAGGCAAACATACTTTTTTAAATAATTTTTTTAAATTACTTTTAGATATTGTATTATCTATATATTATATATATTATTGTTATATTATTGTTACTGGAGCATGTTTCTTAAATTTTAAAATAATATTTATTATATATTAAATTATGTTCTACTAAATTCCAAAAGATACAAATATTTTATGTATATTATAAATAGTTTACAAATACTGTATTTCATTATTTTTACTACGCAACTATTATGTCAATAATAAATATAAACCAGATTTTTAGAAAAATTCTTGAATGAATACGTTCTTTAAACTAATCAATTTAAAGAATACATGAAATACATAAGCAAAAGTAATTGAATTGGAAAGTAACAAACAAGTCTAAGGTATTAAAAAAAGTATGAAAACTCCTTCAATGCATTTATAAAAATATTACCTCAAAGAGTGAATAAATTTTAGGATATTCCAGTTAATCATCTTTATAATATATATATATATATATATATATATATATATATATATATATATGTATTGTTTGATTTTAAAGGTTTAGTTTATGGCTCGAACTACCAATTCAATAGTTCAGTGGATTAGTCTCTCGACAGGATAACTTCAAAGGAAATAATAAGTGATAAGGCTGAAAAATATTATGTATTTTGTAAAAACAATGTTTATTATTTGTAAATGAATATGATAATATTGCACTTTGATGTAGAGAGAAATAATTCTATTGAAGTAGTGAGGGTGTATTCTTGTATTCTTGAATTATTGTAAATTCTGTGGATATGACTGTCTTGAAGTTGAAGTAATGCTGATGTTGTAAATATCAGCTGATGTAGTCAGTCAATCATGCTTGTGAGGCAGCATGAGAAGATGGTGTTTGAATCAAGTACGCTTGATGTATGAATAACTATACTTGATATGGTGTAAGACGTTTAATGGAATATGTTAAGTAATCGAGTGTCTCTAATTATGTAAGGGGACAGTAGAAGAATCTAGTCACAGGTAAAAGCAATTAATGGTAAGATTTCTAATTCGTGAAGGATTTAATAAATCTGTATTTATATAGTCTATTAGTTGATCTGTTGTTGTCCTTCTTTGACAATGTGTGTGAGCCACAGTGACTCTTGCGTCAGCTGTTGAGGGCCTGTACGATGTCGAGGGTTAGTTCGAGAGAGGGTAAGTGTGCCCTGTTTGTGCCCTTTGAATACGCGCACGAACCGAAGGCTTGATCGTTCCGTGGCGGCTCTGCTAAAAATACCGACCGTTCCATGGCGGTCCTGCTGAGGGCAGATCGAGACCCGCGTGCCATGGCTTCTACTGGTAAATGATTGAATCGGTTCACTATGATCGGTCACTGCGGTCGGGTCACGGCAAGATGTTAGCCGCAAGCGCAGTTGAGCGAGGGTGGTACGGCAAGAGGTGATTTCCAGCAAGCGGTATCTTCAGCGAGAGAGCGAGACGCGCCGCGTGCGTCCTTTATATAGCCACGCGCCGGCTCACTTAGCTGGCAACAAGGCGTCGTTGTTGTTGCACTAATTCTTACACGAGGCGTCGAAGGAAAAATCTAGAACCTTCGAGAATGTTCGACGAGAGAAAAATAAGAGTAATACTCTTGGGTGATCTTACAGTATATTATATTTCGGGTCATAAACTTACTCGGACTTGCCGAGTTTTGTTTGTAAACATTCGCTCGAGTGCGCGTCCCGGTCCGCATGTGCGTGCCAGTCTAGGCGCACATGCTGTATGCCGAACACCGCGTATGACCTTTCTTTTGTTTGAAATTCATGGGACTGCATCAATCCCGAACATATATATATATATATATTTTTTTATAAATTATATCGTGAATGATGCAGATTGAATTGTAATAAAAATCTTTTCAAGTCAACTATAAAATGTATTTCAATTTTAAATATTAAAACAAATTATTTAATCTGATTTTATGTATTTATGTATTTGAACTGAAGTAAAATAATTACCAAATTCAAAGTTTTAAATTTTAAACAATTTTGGCTTTGCAAAAATGAAAAATTCCACCTATATTTTTCAATAGAATTTTGGAATATGCTGTATTACTCAATACGTTATTTATTTATTTATACTTTTCAGTGGCTTCTTATAAATTTATAGTTTCCGGTATTTTTTAAACTTCAATTCTTTAAATATATTGTACTTGCATTTGTAAGACATAAAATAAATTGTATATATGACTCATAGAATACTTCCGTTTCAATATTTGAAAATTTTAGAAATTTCAGAATGAATATATACAAAAATTAATTATTGTTGGGCTCATTATGTCATCTCATCAGAAATACGTTTGTCGTAAGCCAAAAATTAGGATTTCTATTATTGAGATCAATATTCGCATATTTATGTCATTATCATTTTTCATTCAATTACTTGTGTCTGGGATCAGACTAAAAGCTTCTCTGAGATGGTGTGGGGAGGCTTGCTGGCAAGTGGAATGGACGATGCAATAATTCAACACTGCCTGTGAATGTAGTGGCTTTCCTTTATTGTATATAATAATATAATAAATAGTCAGTGGTCTATTGAGGTAGGATTGAATGTATGATACAATAAATAGATGAGAATTTTCTTTTATTAATATGAGCGATAGTAATCTTGTAAGTATATTCTTGATGTGGCCCGTGATTCTCCTACTTATAGTTATGACTCGTAGTGGTAGTGGGAGATACGCGCTGATCAGGGGTAGCGATGGTGCCGCCTTTGCCGCTGTCGATGAGAGCTGTCGCGGCTTGAGTGGGAGTGTCTGTATGACGTCACTGATGAGGGGTAATGATGATGCCGTGAGGAGTGTCGCGCTGTAAGGGGGCAGTGATGGTGCCGCTGTTGCCGCTACCAATAAGAGCTGTAGAGGCCTGAGTGGGGGTGCATGTGTGACGTCACTGATGAGGGGCGATGATGCCATTGTCTAGCCATTGACTTGCACGCTGTAGTGGCTTAGTGGAAGCAGAATATCCGTGTCACGTTACTGCTTGACGTGTGGGAGTAGTCCTCGTACCATAAGCCGTTTATTGGTATTGCTGCTTACTTAGTTAACGGAGCCGTGTGTTAGTGATTCGTAAGAACGTGTGCAATAGCGTAGCTTACGTGTGGAGTCGATCTCAGTGCATTGATGGCACGTAAGAACGTGTGTAATAGCGTGACTTACGTGTAGTGAGGTCGATCCGTGTAGTAGTAGTGCTTGGCTTACGCATGAGTTGGAGTCGATCTCGGTAGTGGTAGTAAGCCGAATGTGCTTGCTTACGAATGAGTTGGAAACAATCTCTGTGTTGGTCGTAAGCCGAATGTACTTGCCTTACTTATGAGGCGGACACGATCTGTGTGAATTGGAGGCGATCTGTGTGTAAATGGAGTTGACTTGTAGGACGGCGATCCGATCTTGATGATTGCTTGATTGAACTAGTAAGAGGGCGAGAGCGTCAAGCGCTTCTCCTTAAATATTATAGTACAGGTTTGCGATTCCAGTGAATTCTAGATTGCTCTTGTCATGCTGATAGTTGAAGTGACGTCACTAGAATCTAGCCTTGGAGAGTTCGTCGGTCCTTGATAGTCGGAATTGTAATGTAATTTCGACTATTTTGAGTAGTGAAATTTCCCGATTTCGTAGAATCGTGTTTACGACTTGGCGCGCAATATTTTGACCTAAGCAGGTGTCTTTACCTCTCCCACTTTGTTTACCGCGTAAAATGCTGCAATCCGTAACAACTTGATTATTTTCAAATTACATTGAATGAACTATATATTTAACTATAAAATGTTTACAGGTGATGCCATCCATTTAAATTATAATAATATTTAACTAATATACTATTTAAGTATAAGAGATTAGTTAAGCATCTTAGATTTATTATCTTTTCGTTTCTTCCTGCCACCCATAACTCTAGTTTTTCGCTATATTTAAGTAGACATGTCTGATCATTTCTTTTTTGTCATATACATTTCACACGTAATAAGTTAAATTATTAGCCTATCTAATTATTACACACACACACACACACACATATTTCTTTTTTGAAAATAAAAAATGAATAAAATACATAAAATGAATAAAATTTCTTACGTATGAAATGATTAATTAATGAATGATTTAAATAATGAATGTAAATGTTATTATATGATTATTTTTTATTATATTTAATCATAATATAATGATAATCGTTGTAATCCTTTTTTTTCTATAATAACTTATTATTAAAAATTTTTTTTATAGATTTCATTTTGATCTAGGTGCATAAAATCTATAACTTTTGATTAAATATAAGTACATATCTTACTGCATAGGTAAAAAATTTTTCATTTATTCACGAATCTCAGTATATTTCGTATAAAGAATAATATCTAGTCGATACAATTTCAATATCTGCTTAACTCAAACTATTTTTACATTCTTATGCTATTCGAGAATTCCGTAAAAAAAGCGAACTCTCGACTACTCGAGGAATAAACATTCAAACGCGCCTCAGATTAACTAAATCTAAACAATTCAGCAAAACTTCGAATATCAAAATAAAATACAATTCATAAACACATCTGGCGAGAACAAGGTACAAGTGTCCAGAAAAAGCCGTCACAAATCTAATGCTACGAGACATTTGACACGGCCTCGTCACAAAGCATCTATCGACGACAAGTCATAATACTTCTGGCATAATCAAGTCATAAAAATATAAGCAAAAACCAACTCGTCTTATATCCGAAAAAGGGATATTGAAGGCAACACTGCACGCATACGCTGTTGTCAAACCCAGCTACACGTGGCTCGGATAGTGAAGCGAGAACGTGTCAAAGAAGTCCCCCTCATGGTGGGGATGCAAGTAAGAATCAATTCGTTTGGAGACGCCCAGAAAGAGGCGCTCTGATTGGAAACGCCAAGAAGCAGGAAATTCATAAGGACCACGCGGTGGCCGAGAATACCTTCAAGAAAGCCGCCGGCAAGGCGCACGAGTGTCTACTGTTGTCAAACCCAGCTACATGCAGCTCGGATAGTGAAGCGAAAACGTGCCAAAGAAGTCCCCCTCTCATGATGGGAATGCAAGTAAGAAGCGCTCTGATTGGAGCCGCCAATAATGAAAAGATCAATTCGATTTGAGACGCCCAAAAAGAAGCCCTCTGATTGGAAACGCCAAGAAGCAGGAAATTCATAAGGACCACGCGGTGGCCGAGAATACCTTCAAGAAAGCCGCCGGCAAGGCGCACGAGTGTCTCTTCTCACCAGAGAAGCCGGCAAGGCTGCTTCTCCGAGGGAACGCCAAATAACAAGGATGTAGACATGCACAGTAAAGGCCGATTAAGAGGCAAGGCCTAGTCATATCCAACTCATAACAAGTGCAAGATAAGTGCAAATCAAATCATACACTCGCAGCAGTGCAAGGCAAGGAAAAATGAACAAATAAACAGTGGTGTACAAGGCACAACATAATCACAACCTATTTTAAAAATTTTAAAAATTTTAGTTGAGATTATTATATTGAAAACTACAATATAACGTATTAAAGACATATGTATTTTTTTGTATTATTTATTATATTTATAACTAAAAAAGGTTACGCACAAAAACAATAATTGTATAATTTATAAGAATTAATTATAATTATATTTTGAATGAAATTATAGAAAAATATATTTCTTTTTAATTATTTTCTATTATATTTTATAATTTTTATAGGCCTTTATTAAAACAAATTAAGAATTCCGCCGAATCACATATAGTTTTAGATTGTTCAACAGATAAAATTTATTCTGTTTTAAAACAAGCTCAAGAAATAGGAATGATGACTGATTACCATAGTTATTTCATTACATCATTGGTGAGTTATACATTTTTTAAAATAAATATCAAAAATTAATATATTACATTGTTCTATTTCAATTTTTTGTTCACGTCCAGAATAATCTGTAAATTCGAAATATCTTGATGAACAGGTTTAATTTTTTGAAAAAATTGCTGTTTAAATAAGTATTATTAACTTTTGATTTATTAATTTCTATAATATTATTCTACTATCAAATTCATTCTTTTGTATTAGATTAGCATTGTTGTAAATTTGTTTATCCATATAAAATGTATAAATTAAAGTTTAATCGGATATACAAATATAAAAGAATGAAAGTAATATTATAAATATATAATTGTATAGAAGTATATGTTCATTCTCAAAAAAATATATGTAATATTAATTGTAATAGCATTTATCACCTTAAGCTGCTCAATATCGAATAATTTAAGAATTACTATTAATTGGTAGCTTAAATAGACCATTATATCTTCCACGTTTTATACTATTCGCGTGGTTTCCTTTTCTGATTATGTTTGATTAAGATTTAAAATTTAAATGCACTCAAAAAAATAATTGATAGTGATAATAAGCATTTGAAAAATGTTTATAAATTTTTTATTTTTTATAAGTAATATGTACAATAAGAATATATAAATTATATATATTTAAACAATACATTTATTGGAAATAATGATAAATATAATCACAATAAAACTTACGTTTGGATCAAATTTTAAGGATTCTGCAGTTAAAAATGCAGCTTTTCCACAATTAAGGACAATTACAAATCCTCCTACTAGTGGTGAATAATCAATATCAGTTATGTATGTATCGTTACACGTTAATGGTGTAGCTATCGTTGCAACTTGTTGATCAACACTGAATGGAATTCGCCTTAAATCTATAGAATAATCACGATTTTGAGTTCCATTCCATTTATGCCTAATAACAAAACTAGTTTTTGTAGATATCATTAATTCATCACGAATGCACACGAAAGAACTTATTCCACCGTCGATCCATACATATTTATCCTATAACCAATTATAAAATTTCAAAATTAAAAAAACCTTGGTTAACATTTTTTATATAAAAGCGATTAATAATATAAATAACGAATCACAAATAATATAAATAAATTCTATAGATATTAACAAGTTTTAACTAGATAACTAATGAATCATATAAAATTAAAAAAAATTAAACTTCATTGATTGTTTATTTATTAAATTAATATCAAACTGAAATTAATTAAAAATGAAACTGTAATAGATGTTTGGTAATAATAATTAAAATAATATTCAATATAAAAATTAAAAATAACAAGATCAGAATAAAAATATATTATTTATGTTTCATATAAACTTATTTAAAAATCATCAAAATATTTAAATCTTACAAATTTTAATATTATTGATGGAATTAAATTTTTAATAAAAAGTTCTGCACTATCTCGTTTGAGACTGTTAATAGGTGAATCTTTTTGATTGTAAGGACTTCTTAATTCATTGGACCGCTCACATAATTTATAAAATAGTAAATAACTACCAGTTGTCTGGAAAAAGAGAACATTAAATTAATAAAATACAATAAAATAATAATAAATTATGAATCATAATTTATAATAATAAATAATTTGCTGGCTCGAACTGCCGATGTTTCAATAGCTTTAATAATTTGCCATCCGTCCTAGCAGATGCTTAGGTGGGAGTCAAGTTGAAGGGTTGTAGAAATGTGTAGTATGTGCAAACTTCGTTAACATATCGTTTATTAACAGTTACATTAATAATGAGAAGGATTCACTTATTATAGAAGAGTGTAAACTCTGTCTCGTCTCAATGATGAGGTTTCTCCTTGATGGTGACGATGTCGTTGCCTCAGTTAGTGTTACAAGGGCTAGCAGAGATATGCTCACACTCCTCTATAGGATGTGTGGCCTTGAAGAGTATATATGCACACACGTCTATGTAAGAAGTGTGGCCTTAAATTTATACAATATGGGTGGCTTTGGTCTCTGTTAATGTTGGAAGGATTAGCAAAATTATCCTCACACTCCTATGAAGGTTGTGGGACCTTGAAGTGCATATATACACACACGCCTATGTAGGACGTGTGGCCTCAAATGTATACAATGAAAGTGGCTTCTGCTAATGTTGCTAGGATTAGCAATAATATGCTCACACTCCTGTGTAGGATGGGTGGCCTTCAAAGTGTAAGGAAATATCTTGAGAGTATGGTTATTGTAGCAGTGTAGTTTCTCGTAACGCAACCAGCATCCTTGACTGCTTGTAAGTTGTAGCACACTTGATAATTAAAACACGTATTCCTTGGGATAGCTTCATTGCGTAAGTATAATTGAGTGGCTGTTTTGTGGTAGGAAACGCTGCCTGAATGACTTAACGATTGATAACTGTTTGATTGACTGATACACAATGAGCCTATAAGCCTGTTGAATACGCACACGAAAACTGAAGTCTTAATCGTTTTGTGCCGGCTCTGCTGAGACATGCTGAGCGTTCCATGGCGGTCCTGCTGAGCCAGGCCGTGATCCGTGCCATGCTTTCTTCAAAGCATCGTTGTTGCTGCACTGGAATCCTACATGAGGCGATGAAGAAGACTCTAGAAGTTTCGAGAATTCTAAGAAAAGAAAGCGTAAAATGTTTAGAGAATTCCAGGCGATGTTATTACTCGAAGACCATATAAACATTGCAGCCCATTTGAAACCGAAACATAACAAATATACGAAAATTCTCTTCCGAAGTATGTGCAGAAACCTGAGAGCTAGAGACACTAGCGATGCCGAGAGCCAACGGTCTTGGAAGTTGCTTTAATCCCAAACAGTATTATAAGCTGCAGCAATATTATCATTGTAGATATTTAATTTACTTATGTATCTTATGAACAATTTTCAGCATTAATTATAACTATTACTGAAGTAGGGTACGTCGTTGCAAATTTTAATCGATGGTTCAATCGAAAATAAAATATATTTACTTATAATAACGATAGCGAATTGAAAAAAAAACATAAGAAATGCCGATTTATTAATAATAATATATGATATAAGAAGATAAAAAAATTAAAATATAATTAATATATTACAAGAATCTTATAAGTTTTATGTCACAAATGATATATAGTATCGAACAAAAGTGCATATTTGTACATCACAAGTAATATAATAAAATAATAGTAATAGTTGAATATAATTTTATACCACACGGTAGTTCAAATGTATTAATGTACAAATGTTTTATTAGCTTTAAATTTAAGAAATTAAGTGTATTAAGCCGGTTATTCAATCAATAATATGTCGATTTTGTAAACATAAAAAATGAATGATTGTAAAAGGATACAATGATAACAGTTAAATCATTAGATTCTTTATAATATTGTATAATGAAACGAGAAACAGTATACCTGGGCGATGCAGAATAATTAACGAAATATTAATATATTTTCAACCAACATTATTGTAAGCAAATATTATACAAAGATTTTACACTAGAACAAATCTATTATTAATAAAAAAAAAGAAAGACAGAATCTTTGAGAACAACAGGTACTGATATTTTCCGGAATTAAATTTTTACAATATTTTTTAATATTTTGAGATGGAATGCATTTTCTGTATGATATTTATAACTTTAAATGTGCTTTTATGATATAATTAATTATATTCTATATAATGGAAATTAGCTACAAAAGTTATAATAGAAAAGTGTTTCACAATTGCTGTAACTGAGAGACAGTCAATATTCTTGAAGCAGATGCATACAATTTTGAATACTATTTATAAATCTGTATATATTAATTAGTAACTACATTTTTCTCCATTCTACAATCTCTACAAATTATTATAAGAAGTCTTAATAAATAAATGCCATTGATTATAAATATTAAATAAAAAACTTAAATATATTACATCAAAAGCTTTTTTTTCTGAGATTTTGAAATTTAGTTAGATTTATTTGTCGAATTATTCTTTGAATACTTTCCTTTACATTTTATGCTTTAATTTATTATTAATTTAAAAATATAATTGTTTTAATGTAGGATCTTCATGCAATTGATTTAAGTGAATTTAAACATGGTGGAACTAATATTACTGCTTTTAGAATTGTAAATCCTGAAAAAACACAAATTGTTGTACGAGATTGGATAATTGGTGAAGAGAGGTATTCTCGTAAGTTAGAAATAGAACAAAATGAGGCAAGTCTAATATAATCGTAATAATAAAATATATATCAATTTATTTAATTTTTAAGAGCAATTTTTATGGTCCCTTGAAATATATTATTTTTTAAGTATCATATTTTAAGTAAATGCTAAATACAAAATTACTATTAATACACTTAATATAACAATAAAATCTTTTTGATTTTAATTTTCTGGATAGATAATGATAAACAAACTTTTTGATATATTAATTTTGTGAACTAACTTTATTTTCGATAAACTTCAATTTTTATTATTAATTTGATCATATAAATTAATTTTATTTTCTATGTTTTTATAATGCCCGCATGTACAAGTAATATTTATATGTAAATACAAAAATTAACTATATATATTATAAACAGTTTAAATAGATGTTCAAAGAAACTTCATAACCATCGAATTTTAATTAATTTGTTTTATTTCAACTTTTTTGGATATATTAATTTTAATTATTTAATTTATTTACATTTAAAATATAAATAGAATATAAATAAAAATATAAATATTGCAAAATATAAATATAAAAGAATTCCTTTATTAATTTTATTTAATCAAGATTTGAATGATTATGATTGATTTATGTATAATTATTCTGTATATATCTATTTCAATTTAAATAAATAATTTATATAAGCAATTTTTAATATATTATATAATATTAATATACTGTATGTATATAAGATGAGTTACATTTTAACAAATAGAAATGGAATATTTTGCGATATAAAGCACAAATTAAAAATACGAGTTTTTGTAGAGTATACATTTTATAACAATTGAAATAAAATAATTTCATTTAAATATTATAATTTATATATTAAGGTATATTAAATAAAATTAACAATTAAGGAAAATATATAGAGTAGAAAATTAAATAATTGAGAATTTATTTCAGTGTATTTTAATTCAGCCTTGAATTAGAAATAATAGAATATACAAAAAAAATTCCAATGCTAATATAAAAATATATATAGACAGAATGCAGATATGAAGATGAACAATGAAAAATTTTATTCAAAACTTGCTAATATTATTAATTTGAAATATTTTACATTAAAGTTTACGTTAATCTATTAAATGCTAACTGTATACATAAAAATAATGTAATGTAATATAAAATGTAAAAAAAAATGTATATTTACTAAATAGTCAGCACTCAATATACATCGATGATTAAGTTGAAATTATAAAATGCAAAATAGTCTTATCAAGATTTTAATATAAATACCTATATTATATTCTTAAGAATAGATTCTTAATTTAAATACAAATAATACAATAATATTTTATTATATTTAGATAAAATTAATTAAAAATCTGATAGTAATGATAACATGTAAGGTAAACTTATTTTTTATCTTTCTGCTAACTGATGGAATAGGACAATCATACTTTTATTAAGGTGAGTCTTTAAATTATCATAAATACTACTAGCGTATAAATAAAGCATTTTTTATATTTTGGGACATAAATAAATACATAAATCATTATCTTCTAATGTGTATTCTTGAATAATTAAAATATGTAAATATAATTTAAATTTTATTATGATTACTATTTACTAATAAAAAGGTTTAAAATAAAAATTAATTGAAGTTATATAAATATACATAATATAAATCCTTTTTTTAATTTATTTAAGAAAGTCTTTTATATTCTTAGTTATATTTATTTAATTAATTGAATTGCATTAGTATAATAAAATTTTGAAAGTGGATAAATGTAATTAAATTATTTACTCGATATAACTTAAAATCTTGAATAAATTTTAGACGAATTTAATTTAATTTTTAATTCCATTCTTCAACGATTATATAACTTGAATTATCGCATTGATACATACATTGATCCTTATAGTCTTTGAAACTTATCATAAGTATGCGTTAGTCACCAATGATTTCCTTTTTAGACACCCATTGTTCGTATCTTTCATTATCTCCGTAATTTTAGTGAAAATATTATCATATTTCAATGTCATTATAATATAAGTTAGATTATTTATACTTTGTGTTTCTTTAATAACTGATAATTAAAGTATATTTTTTATATTGTCTATAAATTAATTAGTATTTAGTATAAACAGACATGATTTTTTCAATATAATTGATTGTGGTAGTTATTTTCAATTAAAATGAAAATATCGAACTGTATTCATTATTAATTCTTTATTTGTCGAACCGGTTTGTTCACTTATTTCTTTTTTATGTTTGTCATTATATTATAATTATTTTATATTTATACATTATTTTATCATTACAATTAAAATTTAATGCATTCCATTATTTTTATTTTAATTGAAAAATTGTAAGTTCTTTCCATTATTGGTTATTTGGAAGTTAAAGAAGTCTATTATGTCTATTCATACACATATACTATATTTATCGATTTAATTTCAATCCAAAGATATCTTCTTTTTTATTCTTCCTTTGAATGTCTTAAATCAATTTTTTTTGTTCTCGTTATTTTATAACATTTTCTGGATTTGTCGTTTCCATAAAATTGCTAATTTTTATTATGATATATTTTTCAATCATACATATACATGTATCCTTATCGTGATGAAATAAGTTATATGTATACATTCAATGAAATTATGAATAAATAATATCAGTCAGTTTTACTATTATATATTAAAAATTAAACTTCAATATCTATTTTCAAATAGTTCTTCGCAATCCATATTTTTAGGAATTAAGTTTACATTGCATACCTTAAATACCTATATTAGAAACGAGATCTAAATATTTGGATTACAATGCTTTTTTAATTCTGTGTTAACAAAATTGTTTATAAAACATTTGCAGACTGAAACCGCTCTAATGTATGACGCGGTTCATCTATTTGCACGAGCATTGCATGTTTTAGATGCATCGCAACAAATCGAAATTAAACCACTTTCTTGTGATTTGACTGACACGTGGGACCATGGATACTCACTGATTAACTACATGAAAAATGTAAGAAATTTATTAAGAGTTTTTAATTTATTTAATATATATAAGTTTAAAGATACTTTATGTCTGATCAAATTCCATATTTGTTTATTATTTTGCATAGTTAATTTTTATATACAGTTTTCTAATATTAAAAGATATAGTATGTTTGTAGTTTTTAGAAGACTATTTTCAGTGAAGACTAAATTGGGATGGCATTTATATTGAGGAACAAGAAAAGAATTTTACAGATTAAATAAATTACAATAGCTTAATATCAAAGTTTTTCGATGTAGTTCGTGACTTAAAATTATAATTGTTTTCAATAAACATAACTCAATAGTGTAATTTTTATAATTCAAAGCAAGATAATATGAATAAATAAATAAAAAATTATTTCACTAGATTGATATTTTATTATAGTAAATAAAGAACTCATTTTTATTTTCTCTAATAAATATAAATTGTGACAAGAAACATAAAATTAAAAACATAATTATAGGCAAGTTGTATTACTTATTAAAATAACCAATTGAATCATATTATAATATTCTAGATGAATTTTGCAATGAAAATAAGAATGGAAACTTTAAAAAGTCAATTTAATTATCTATTAACAAGACAATATTAAGAATTTTAAGATAATAATTATATATTTCAAAACATTTTAACATATTATTAAATCACAAATAAAATTTATGTTATTTACACCCTTAGGCAGAATTAATGTATTGATAGTAAATAGAATAGATTCATTGATGAAAATTGATGAAAATGATACATTTAAAAATATTTGCCAAGGTATATTGGATATAAGAAGTGTAATGGTCTAAGGAGCTTAAAGATTCTAAGATACACTTCGATTAAGAGAAAATGATTGAACAATTTTATAAATCTGAATTCTATTTTACTAATAAGTTTTGTTTATTAAAAGTTTAAACAAAAACATTATACCCGTATATAAAGTTAGTCACTAAACAAAATATAAATTATTTATGTACTATTAGTTACAATAATTAATGCAATTTCTTATATGATGATAAAAACAATTTTCAATTAATAAAAAATTTTATATAAAATAAACATTATAATAATATAAAATTGTAAAATAAATTATTATTGGGAAAAGAAATAATAATATTTATATAATTTAGATTCATTTTATTGTAAAATTAATATTAATTCCAAATATCATAATGAAATAATAAATAAATAAAAAATGAAAATGTTAGATAAATAATTAAAAATATTAAACAATAAATAAAAAAACCTATATCTGATTATGTTAATAATGAATATAATATTTAGAAAATAAAAAAATTATTTAATTATTTTTTATCTGCTCTGTATCATTAGTTTGGATAGATCTAGGAAAAACACAAATCCTATAATCAATAGAATAAAAGAGAAGATGTATAAAATGGAAAACTATAATGTAATATAATAATTATAAAAATGAAATAATACTTTAATAACTAAATGCTATCAAATAATAATATTAGATTAATACACATAGATTAATTTTTCGTATATTCATTTAAATACGAAATATTAATAATAAAATAAATTAAATAATTACATGTATATAAGTGTTTAGCAACAAGATTTTTATTTTTATAAAAAAATACAAAGTACTAGTCATTGAAAAATTAAAATAAAAACCATTATTTTTAGAGTATTGTAAAGTAAAAATGGTTAGTAATGAAAATAATATGATAAATTTTCTAACTTAATATTTGTATTTTTGACTAATAAATTAATATTTTATGAACTGTTTTTAGCTGGATAATATCGCAATATTTTTATTTTTATTAAAAAACTAAGCTTCATAAATACTGTTAGTATCATTAAATACTAATTGTTACGGATTACAGCAGTTTTACGCAGTATACAAAGTGGGAGAGAGACACCTGTGCTTAGTTAGAAACATTTGCGCGCCGAGTCATAAACACAATTCTGCGAAGTCCGAAAACCTCACTACGCAAAATATTCGAATATTATATTACAATTCTGACTAACAAGGGCCGATGAACTCTCCAAGGCTAGACTCTAGTGACGTCTCTCTAACAATCAGCATGATAAGAGTGATCCAGTAATCACCGGAATCGCAAGCCTGTACTAGGATATTTAAGGAGACGCGCTTGACGCTCTCGACCTTACTAGTTCAATCAAACACCCATTAAAACCGGATCCCCATTCTACAGATCGACTCCAGCTTAACGTAAGCCAAGCTCATTCGGCGATCCAACGCTGAAGAGATCGACTCCAGCTCAACGGAAGCCAAGCTGACTCGGCCTACCAACGCTGCAGAGATCGACTCCAGCTCAACGGAAGCCAAGCTCATTCGCTAACCCTACCAGCACGAGTCTCCCACTACTACTACGAATTCATAAGGAGTAAGAGAATCAAGCTCCAAGCTATCAAGAATACACTTACAGAATTCTTGTTGCTAATATT